CACGTCCGCATGCACGCCCGCCCGCGCCTGCTGCGTATGCCCGAGTGATTAAAAAAATGATCGGCGAACCCTATCCTCAAGACGCCTCACCCGCCTCCTCTCGCGCCGCCGCCGCCGCCGCCATCTCTGGCAGTACCTGGCCGACAAAAAAAAACATACGCGTTGTGCGCTACGCCGACAACCGCCTAGGTCGGGCAGACGCCTCCGCCGTCGTCAGCTCGTATCCGGCGACAACCGCCTCATGTCTGACGAAGGCAACGAGGTACGCGAGGCGCTGACATAGTAATTTAAGAACAGATTTTAATTGAGAAGATGTTATGTGATGTTTGAATGGATATTTAATTATATATGAACGTGTATAGATTGAGACTGAAATAGGATATGACGGTGACGATGGCGGTAGCGAGGACGGATCATTGTCATTGGATGAAGACGAACATGACGGCGAAAATTATATGAGTTTGGATGAGCCTTACAGTGGCAATGTAAGTGGTCTGCATGTTCTCAACCATATTAAATACAAGCATGCACGATGACAATAACATGTTTGACTGTGCACAAATAGGAGGGGATGATGACAATGAAGATATGGATGTAGATGATTCATATGCTGAAAGCGGAAGCCATGTAGGTTTAGATTTATGTAGGTTATTTTAAAGTGAAATTAAATACGCATCAAGTCTTACATATCATATTTACAATTTGCGCAGATGGAAGTGGAAGGGTACTATCAGTGGAATTTTTTCGATGATGCCAATGACGAAAACGATATCGATGCATCTTATAATGACAGCTCGAGCAAAGTAAGTAGTGGAAAGTGAATACATACGATAGTCCTTATACAACTACTTACTGACATATACAGTTGTTTGTACTTTTTTTCAGGAAGAGGATGGTGACGCGTGCGAAAATGATGATGATGCCGATGGTGATGAGTGCAATTTTGACACTGGGTACGATGAATACCAACAAGAATCACTGGACAGGCATTGGACGGTGATGTCCAGGACGTTCAGGACAGACGAGGAGGCATGTGATTTCTATAACGACTATGCAAAAAAGCGCGGCTTCAACATTAGGAAGGACAACTTGAAATATAGTAAGGGTATGGACGCACGTAGGCGGTTGAGGAGGTTTCTCTGTTCAAGGTCTGGGAAACGACATGCCAAGTTTTGTACCATGGAAGGGAAGAAGCGCAAGCTGAGAGCGGAGACTCGGTGCTATTGCGAGGCCCATCTAACTGTGAAGGTTGACAAAGAGCGCTCCATTTGGTATGTCAGCAGTTTTAGCGATGATCATAGTCACACTCTTGCTAGACCAGATGAAGTTATATATCTTCGATCTCATAATCAGATAAAGGAATACCAGAAGCTCGAGATCTTAGCAATGGTAGGTGCTGGGCTTAAAAAACATTGGATTTATGACAACTTCGTTAGTAGGTATGGATCATATGCACGGGCTGGTTTCAGGAGGAGGAAGCTTTATAACATGTGTTATAGGGAGAAAATGAAGTTGCTAGCAAAGGGTGATGCGGACACTGCGATTGGTATCATGATGACGAGAAAGACAAGGGATCCAGACTTTTTCTTTGAGCACACTGTTGACGCAGAAGGAAAGCTGAAGAACATGTTCTGGTGTGATTCTCAGTCACGTCGGGATTACCTTGACTTTGGTGATGTAATCGTCTTCGACAACACTTACAAGATGAATAGGTATGGAATGCCATTCATACCTTTTGTTGGTCTAAACAATCATCGTTGCACCACTGTGTTCGGTTGTG